ACTTTAATTAGCGCATTGACAAAGAATTGCTCCTGGTTTTTTTTTTTTTATAAATCTCCCTCATTGTCTTTGGGTGACTGTCAGCAAATATCACCAATGCCAACTGAAATGCACTTTGCATACATGTTGATCAATGCTCTGTTCCCAAAGCTTTGATTTTTATTCTAGGTTCTGATGTTTTATTCAGCTATCTTTTAATCTCAAACTTAGGGAAAACACATTTTTTCCTAATTTTAGGCAAATCATTTGGGCTCAAGTCCTGCTAGACAAATAAATGTGCCTAAGCAGCATGCAAGGCTAACCCCCGGAGTGGAAAAGGAGGGGGGGGGGGGGCAGGGGCGTTTTAGCTGTGAGGCAAACAAGGCATTTGCCTTGGGTGGCATTTTCCAAGGGGCGGCAAAAAAAGCGGCTGGCGAGGGAGCTCTTCCTCTGAGCGGTCTTCTCAGCTCCCTTGCGTGCCTCAGAGTGAGGCTGGGATATGACGTCATCAACCCGGCTCCCAGCCTCAATCTGCGGCGCGCGAAGGAGCTGAGCAGACCGCTCAGAGGAAGAGCTTCCTCGCCAGCCGCCCATCCAGTAGCCCGACAGGCAGCCACTGGACCACCAGGGAGAAAGGGAACCCTCCCCCCCACCCCCAGCATTCCCAAAGGTAAGGAGGCTGGAGGGGGGGGTTACAAAAAAAATATGTTAATGTGAGTGAGTATGTTAGTGTGTGTGTTAGTGTGTGTGTGAGTGTGTATGTTAGTGTGTGAGTGAGTGTGTCTGTGAGTGAGTGTGTCTGTTAGTGAGTGTGTCTGTTAGTATGTGTGTCTGTTAGTGTGTGTGTGAGTGTGTCTGTTACTGAGTGTGTGTGTGTGTGTTAGTGAGTGTGTGTGTGTCTGACTGTTAATGTGAGTGTGTTTGCCTGTGAGTGTGTGTGTCAGTGAGTGTTTGTGTCTGCTAGTGTGTGTCTGCTAGTGAGTGTGTGTGTCTGCTAGTGAGTGAGTGTGTCTGCTAGTGAGTGAGTGTGTTTGTGTGTGTGTGTGTACTGTGTGTGTATGTTTGCCTGTGAGTGTGTGTGTCAGTGAGTGTGTGTGTGTCTGCTAGTGTGTGTCTGCTAGTGAGTGAGTGTCTGTGTGTGTCAGTGAGTTTGTGTTTCTGTTAGCTAGTGTATGCAAATCTGTCAGTGAGTGTGTGTGTGTGTGTGTATTTAGTAGGCGGGCGGGGGGGGAAGGGATGGGTGGGGGATGCACGCGCGTGGGCGGGTTGGGGGGGGATTTGGGGGGCGTCTGAGTTTTGTCCTGCCTAGGGCAGCACAAAACCAGGATACATCACTGGGGGGGGGGGCATGACTTCTGCCTGGAGAGGTTGGCATGGCTACAAGGGATACAATGTTTGGGATGCACCTGGTCCGACCGGTGACACTGGGAAAAGACTTACCATACCACTGGAGAGTGCGCTGAGGGAACCTGGCAGTGCTGTTTCCCGCCCACCCTCCTTGGGTTGGTGTGAAAACGGGATATGGTTTTGTTGAATGTGATGTGTTTGGTGTTATTTCTTACTGTTTATTTTGTCACAGCTGCGGTTTGTCCTTCGCCAGCAAGTGAAACTGAGATCATTGCCTGTACGGGCTTGGGGAGTTGCAGCCTGGTCTGGTTGAGGACGGACTTCAGGCTGAAGAGGGAAGAATAAAGTTATGGTTAGTGGTCTGCTGAGAAAATCCAGCAGCTGACAGTCGTTTAAGATATGCTGGCTTGTTAATAAAAGCTGAGGCCGTTGCCCTTACCCACAATTTGGTTGTCTGTGAGTTATTGGGGGGAAGGATAATGAAAGGAAAAGGGAGAGGGTCAGCAGTCAAGAGCTTTTTCAATCAAATTAAGCAGATTTAGAGGAAGTGAACTGTGAGGTTTCACACAGTGTAAGTGTGAGCATTGTGAGAAAAGCAGTTGTGGAAACAGCTGTCAGCTGACATGGGGCTGTGTTTCTGACTGTGAATCTGTACATTGGAGAGTGAATAGAAACAAGATCCATACATTTTTGATTCACTATATTAAAAATGTATGGAGGTAAAATGTATTCACAGAGGTTATTTATGAGAGGTGAGAGGAACAATTCAAAGTGAATTCCATGTAAAACAGTATGTTTGTATATATTGCCTATTATAGAAATATAGTCTTCAAATTACTTTCAAAATGAGGTATACAGTTATTTAATACTAGGAAAAGTCCAACGATCCATAATCAAGGTGCTCACTTGTAATGATTACGTGATAGCATGATGTCATGAAATTGAATTTGCTGATTTCTAAATAAAATTGTAAAAAATGTATTGTCTTTATTATTCCATTAAGAGTTTTGAAGAGCAGAATTGAATCTGTCTGTCCATCTTCCCACACCCCTTGTACATTTACATATTAATAGTTTTACAACATGGAATTAAAAATGATTTATTGGGATTATCATAATTTGATTAACAAAACATATCTAACATTTCCTTTTTTCCCGCCCCATCATTTTTTATTTAAACAAACATTTAAGGACCATATGACATATGTCATCATGCAGTGCAGGGCTTTAACGCCCATTGACAGCATCATGCAGTAAAAGTACCAGCAGGGTTAAATCACTGCTGGCACCAAGTAACCTCGGGATCACTGAATACCTGAGGGTCCTCTCTGCTAGCTGGGGTCATATGTTAGATGGACCCATACTGACAGTTGAGCTTTGTGTAGTGCTCTAAGAGAGTGTGGCACATTTCCCTTTAAATGAATTTACATACTGCAACAGAGCAAACACAAGAGATATATCCCTCTCATGCTGGAATCACACAGAGAGTGCTCGCAGAGCCCACTGCATTGTGTGAGCTGAGAAGCCCATCTTTTGATGTCAGTACTTATATCAGCAGTGGGAATGCCTCTGAGTTTGTATAAAGAGATGGATTGGGAGGAAGATCTGGAGTATGATTATGGGAAATACTACTAGTTGGATTATGGATAGGATTATGGGTTGGGTTATGGGTTGGATTATAGGTTGGGTTTAGGATGGATTATAAATTGTATTATGGGTTGTATTAAGGATAGGATTAAAGTTTGGATTAGTGCTTGGGTTAATGGTTGCATTAAGGATTGGTTTAAGGGTTAGATTAGAGCAAGATAAGTGGAATAGGTATGGATGTGAGGTATCATTGTAATCAAGAACAGTAGAAGAATACAAATATGGTCACATGGTCTGTAAATTAGTGGAAAAAAACACAAGTAATTACAATTTTGACCTTTATTTGTATTAATTAATAAAAAGTGTAGAAACGCTTTTACATACATAGCTTCGGGATGTACTTTCTACAAATATATACTTATATATCATTGTTTATTTCTATATCACTACTTGCTTATATTTCATTGCACATATTATCTCTGTGGCGCCATCTTTTTCTACTTCCTTATGCCTATATATCTATAGGGCCTGTGAGGGAGCGATATCCTTTAGGTGTGTTGCCTTTATTTACGTTTTTAAGCGCTGATCCTTCTGTACACTTTTCAGGACTAATTAGTGAATCTTTTTTTTTTTTTTCAATTTGACAATTTTTATTTTCCATATAGAAAAAGGGGGGGGAAGGGATACAAAAATTAATGAGGGGGGGGGGATGAATGGGGCAGGGTGGAATAACGAAGGTTCCACTCATGACATTATACTTTATACAACATTTTCACTTTATACAATACACAGGTTATTAGTATTTATAATCATGACTACAACCTTGTCCGGCCTTTCTGTATAACCAGCTTATTGTTTTGGCTCTTTAACATGTATCTCCAGATGCCGGTCTGGCTGAGGTTACCTGGTATACCATTAGTGTTTCAAAGGTGGGGGTGGGAATCACAGACGCCAAATGTGGGGTATGATGGAGTGGGGTTAGTTGGTACCGTGTGTATTTCCAACGGTCATTATATCCCACTTTACTTAGTACAGCCGTAGTTTGGATAGTTTAAACAGTGTCGGCAGGGCACTGTCTATGCCCCTCAGCCCGGAGGTGTCCACATGTTTACCAGCCTGTCCTGCGCTCGTTGTCGTGCCTTTTTACCGTGTGGCCTATGTCAATGAGTTGGACAGAAGGAGGTGGTGGGGGGAGGGGTGGGGGGGGTCCAGGTGCTCACCCGGGGGGGGAGGGGTATGAGGGGAGTTAGCTTAAATATATACACTGGTGGGTTGTTTGTCTCGTCTGTATGTGGTACATCTACCTGGTTTCTTTTGAGAAGGGTTCGCTGTACCTGTTTGATCTCTCATCACCGGCCTCTTTCCACTGTTTCCCGGGGTATACCCTCTCAGATTGCGTTGGTGAGGCTAAAGAATCTTACTCATCCCCAGTTGTTTGGGACTTCACCTTGTTCCAGTATTGTTCCCAAATTTTCCCCGCCTCCATAGTTGCCACTCCCGTCCCCAATTGTTGGGCCGCCATGTGTTCATATTCCCAATTCTTTTGGATCTGGGTAACTAGCTCAGCTTTTGTGGGGATGTTCCGTGATTTCCAGTTTTTTGCTATTAGGTTACATGCTGCTATCAGCGTGTGGAATAGGAGTTTGGAGTGGACCTTGGTCAGGCCTTCTGGCCATATGTATAAGAGGCATGTAGCCGGGGTCAGGGTCATCTTTGCAGGAAGCAGTTGGTCCACGATGGTGCTCACCATGGCCCAGTAAGGTTGCACGTCTTTACACGTCCACCAAATATGTATTAGTGAGCCTGTGTCTAGCTGGCATCTCCAGCACTGAGTAGACACATTCGGGAACATGTGTGCTAGCCGTGTGGGGACCAAATACCACCTGTATTGCAGTTTTCTCACTTGTTCAAAGTGTGTAATGCAGGCTGTGTTGCCCTTGTGGATTGTGAAGGCTCTGGACCATTGGGCCTCCGTGAAGGTGCTGCCAAGGTCTTTGTGCCATGCCTGTATAAAGTTGTCTGTGGATGCGTGAGTGCCCTCAAGCAATGTGTTATATATTTTTGAAATGCTTCGTCTGTGTGGCTTGCCCGTGAGGCACCACGTGTCAAAGTTTGAGATCATGGGTGTCGTAGGTGGAGTCTTGGGTTGCCGTAGGGTGGACTTGAGCTGCAAGTATGAGAAAATTGCTTTACTCGGTAGGTTGTACTGTGTTTGTAGGTCCGGGAACTGTTTTAGGGATGTACCCTTGTATAAGTCGTGTATGTGTGTACACCCTGCATCCGTCCAAGTCCGGTAGTCAAATGTTTTGTTTCTCAGGTGGATACTATACATTGTCGATGCTAGCGATGTGGTTCCTGAGCCACTGAGGTGCGTTCTATATGTGTCCCAGGTATGCAGCATTAGTTTGGTGGTCTCTAGCATGGTCGGTGTTGTTGGCCTTAGGTGTTTTGGCACCCAAAACAAGTGGTGCATCCCTGCTCTACATGTCCATTGGGATTCAATGGCTACCCATTGTGGTGGGTTAGCTGCCCTGTGTGTCGTGGCTAGCACTGCTAGAATGGCCGCCTTGTAGTACAGTTTGACGTCTGGGAAGCTCATACCCCCCCTCTCCGTTGTTCTTTTTATTGTAGAGTATGCCACTCTGGGTGTTTTGTTCGCCCACACGAATCTCGTGATGATTTTTTGTAGTTTGACCATATATTGCCTAGGTATAGGGATTTGCAGCGTGCGGAATAGGTATTGTAATTTTGGCAACAGTGACATTTTAAATGCCGCTATGCGCCCATGCCACGAATGGAAGTCACTGTTCCACTGGTCTAACGTCTGAGAGATTTCCTGCAGGAGTTTCTCATAATTATATTTAAACATTTGGCCGCTCGTCTTGGCTAGCTTAATCCCCAGGAATGTGATATAGTCTTCCCTCCAGTCAAAGGTGAAGGAGTTCGTCAGTGTTTGTAAAGTATGTTCTGGCAGATGGATTCCCATTGCTTGTGTTTTTGTGAGATTTAATTTGTAGTAGGATACTTTGTTATATTCTCGTATGCACTGTAGTAAATTCGGTAGGGATATTATTGGTTGCGTCAACGTCAGGAGTATGTCGTCTGCGAATAGATTAAGGGTGTACTCCCTGTCCCCCACTTGGACCCCATGTATATCAGGGTGGGCTCTGATCACTGCAGCCAGCGGCTCCAGTGCCAGTACATATAGCAGGGGGGACAGGGGGCACCCCTGTCTTGTTCCATTGGTAATGGTTATCTTTTTTGACACAAAACCCGAATTAAGTACTTGGGCTCTTGGTGCCGAATACAGTGCCCTGACCACTGAAATAAACCCCTCCGGCATCCCGTACCTCCTCAGGGCCGCCTGCAGGAATCCCCACCCCAGTCGGTCAAAGGCTTTTTCTGCGTCCAGTGAGAGCAGAACCCCCCCTTCCCGTTTCGCCCCTAAGCTTTGCATGAGGTCGAGGACTTTTCTGGTGTTGTCTGCCCCCTGGCGCCCCGTCACAAATCCCACTTGGTCATCGTGTATGATGTGTGGTAATATCGGGCTTAGCCTCATAGCGAACAGTTTCGCCAGTAGTTTAGTGTCAGTATTAAGGAGGGATATGGGTCTGAAATTTTGTGGGTAATTTGGGGGTTTGCCAGGCTTGGGCAAAGTGATAATGTGGGCGAGCTGCATTTCCTCCGGTAGGGTTTGTGTTCGCACGGCCTCATTGAAAACTTCTGCTAGGCATGGTGCCAATATATCTCTAAATTTGCTATAGTAAGAGTTGGCAAATCCATCAGGGCCCGGGGCCTTGCCCCTTGGTAGCGACTTTATGGTGTCTCCTACCTCCTCAGGGGTGACTGGTCGGGTAAGGGTGTCTTTCTGTTGGGCTGTCAAAGTCGGGAGGTTGATTTTGTTTAGGTATGTCTCTATCTCGGCCGTTGTCGGTGTGGGTATGGTTGCATCGTTGCTAAGATTGTACAGGTCCCCATAGTATTGTGCGAACTCATCGCTAATAGTGAGCGGCGACATAGCTTTCCCCCCTGCTTTCGTGTGTAGGTACGCTATTTTCTGTGACTGTTGTCGCTTTTTTAACCTTGCTGCCAGTAGTTTACTCGCTCTATTCCCCTGGGCGTAGTGTGAGGCTTTCAATTTCCATAAGTTGTGTCCTACCTTAGTTAGCGCATGTTGGCGAAGTTGCTGGCGCACTAGGGCTATTTGTTCTTTTAGCTGTTGTGTGGGGCGGAGTTGATTTTGTATCGTCAGTGTGTAAATGTCTTTTTGCCACTTCGTCACTTGTGTCTGTGTCTTCCTTTTGATGTATGATGCTTGTTTTATAAGGAGTCCACGGGCAACTGCCTTATGTGCTTGCCAAATTGTGTGGTGTTGTAAGTCGGGGTTGGCATTGTCTGTAAAGTAGGTTTGTAGGGACTCTGCTAGCGTTCCCGAGAAGGTTTTGTCTGTCAGGAGGGTCTCGTTAAGCCGCCAGGGGCTCCTATGTTTGAAGTCATAAGTGTCCCTCAAGATTAGTTCTATAGGGGCATGGTCAGACCACACTATCTGTCCCACCCGACAGTCCACTACCTGCCCTAGTGTGGTTCCCTCCACTAGGATCGCGTCGATTCTCGAGTAGGTATTATGAACCTGCGAGTGGTGGGTGTACTCTTTGTCTTCTGTGTGCGTGACTCTCCATGCATCATAGTAGTGATGCATTGACAGTAATTTGGTCAGGGCCGCGCTTTGGCGCTTAAGTGATTTATATCGCGGGCTGGTTCGGGAGAGAGTAGTGTCTACAGCTGGGTTTAGGACATGGTTCAGGTCCCCACATATAATTGTAGTGCCTTGTTGGATGTGAGAGATTTTGTGTATCATTCTGTGTATGAAATTCCTCTGGTTGGTGTTTGGGGCATATATATTCACTATGGTATATAGTATATTATTTATGTGTCCCACTATTATAACGTATCTGCCTTCTGGGTCGGTGTCCTCAGTGATCAGAGTGAAAGCGACTTTTTTACTGAGCAAGGTGGTGACTCCCTTAGATTTGGTCGTGGACGTAGAGTGGAACTGGTGAGGGTAGGAGTTGGTCAGGATGCTGGGATGGGACGTGCCCCTGAAATGTGTTTCCTGTAAACACACGATGTCCGCATCAGCTTTACCTACATCCCTGCTAAGAAGGTGTCGTTGGACCGGGAGATTGAGTCCCCTTACATTGTGGCTGTAAAACTTAAGGTGGTTTGTATGGGAAGGTATTGTGAGAGTTTGATATGTATTGGTCTATGATGGGGCTCTGCCCTCCCCAGCTACGGCAAGCTGGGCAGATCCCACTAAGATAACCCCTGCGGGTATTCGATAGGTATGTCTGTTCGGTGCTTTGTATCCGGTGGAGAGGCGCTCGTGGTGCTACAGTGTAGATGGTAGGTAATACGTGCGGGCCACCCACCTGGCCCGAATTGGTTGTAGGGGGGCTAAGGGAGGGAAACATAACAAGAACAGAACTCAATATTACATAAAATGCAAACCTATATACAATCATAAACAAAAATGCCAGAATAATGGCAAGGTTCCCAATTAGGGAGCCATGGGGGTCGGAGCGTAATGCTTCGATCCTGCGTGGGGGGGGTGTGCTGCCGCGAGTGCGGCCCTCTTGTTTCTTTTAACATGGTGATTGACCCAATTTGCACTGTTATGCCGTCTTCTTATTAGCTAACACTCTTTAGTGAGCCATCGCTCTACATTATTAGGCGTATTTGGTCTTTGGGGCTTTTAGCATTAACACCGTTGGGAGAGGTTATCCCTAACTCTGTGCGGACTTAGCTTAGGTCTACACATGACCCTTAAATATCTGGTTATAACTTTGTCTGGCTATCTGACCTCAATTGCTCCCTGGTTATCATACCCCTAGTCTGGCTTGGATAGTCTAACATTAAATCATACCAAAATCAAACAATATACATAACATAACATGGCTATTTTGCATTGCGTGATGCAGCATACTGTATACTTGCGGGCGACTTGAAAAGTTCGTATTTGTTCCCCGTCCAGGGCTATTTTCGCACCCGCTTCCATGTGGAGGTGTGACGCTCGTGCGCTGCAGGCCTCTGGGGTTCTGGGCGCGGGGTAATGCCCCATTCTCTCAGCTTCAGGAGACCTTCCTCTGGGGATGTGATGGCTGTAAGGGTGCCGTTGCGTTGGACCAGCAACTTGGTCGGATATCCCCACCTGTATGCGATGTTGCTGTCTCGCAGAGCCGCTGTGATAGCGCCAAAAGTCTTTCTCTTCCTCAGCGTCATAGCAGAGATGTCCGCGAAGATTCCCACCTTTTGGAATTCAGTAGGTATGTCTTTTCGTGTGCGGCTCGCTCTCAGGACCGCCTCCTTCGCATGGTAGTAATGCATCTTCAAGACGATATCTCTTGGCGTATCAGCAGGTAGGTATTGTGGCTTTGCCACTCTGTGGATGCGATCCAACAGCAGGACACTCTGTGGCAGATCAGGGGCAAGTGTGTGGAAAAGCCCCGTTGCGTACGCCTGCAGCTCTTGCGGGCCTATGTCTTCAGGCACGTTCCGCAGTCTCAGGTTACTGCGGCGTGCGCGGTCCTCCAAGTCCGCAATTTTGGCCTCATATTCTTGCATCCTGTCCCATACTTCCTCCACCTTATTAGCTAGGCGGTTGTGAGCCTCCGATTGCGCCTCCATCTGATTCTCCAGATCTGAGGTGCGTGACCCCAATTTGTGGATGTCTGCACGGAGGTCTGTGAATGAGCGTTGCAGTGTTGTTTGCAGTTTCGCCTCCATATCGTCGAGCATAGCCTGCATCCCCTCCGTGGTGAGGACGCGGCCCGAGGCCTCTGTAAGCATTCCTTGGGCTCCGTCTGTTTCGGCGCCATCTTGGAGGTCTTCCTGTGTTGCCGCTCCCCGCGTGTGCCCTTGTTTGGCGTTGAAAAACAGGAGTTTGTCCTGTTTCTCGGTCGCCCGCTTTGCCTTGGCGTGGGACATGGTCGGTAGCGCCTGGTGCCCGTTGATTTTGTCCGGTTTGGGTCTAATTAACGTGTGAGGGCCTGTACTGCCGCGGAGCTGTTAGAACATGCGACCGCTCGCGTTCCCGTCCAGGCCACGCCCCTAGTGAATCTTTTTTGATTAGGTTTCGTTAGTTGCACTTCGTGTATATAAATTAAGTGTAAAACTGAATACATTTAAAAAAATATATATATATTTTAATTTATTTACTATGGCGTTATGCATGCATCCATGGTAACAAAAGAAAGCTCTATTACTTCTTTAATATATATATATACACACACAAGGTCTGTCCAAAAATGGAAAAAGTCCAGCCATTGTTAATTTAATAAGAACGGTTTGCGTGACATTGATGTAATCTGAAAGTGAGGGTGAGAGGACTGGAATGCACTTGCAACTTCCCTGTGCTTGTCACAAGGGTCACTAGACACCATTGAGTGAGCATGTGTACTGTGTGACTATCGCATTAAAAATAGACTTGATTGGACTTGACAAAAGCTCCAAGGAGAGAAAACATTGTTTTTGTTCTGCACTTTATAATAAAGCTGCCTACTGAAGAAACCACCAGGTGTGCCCTGATCTACATTGTTATAT